AATCAAAATCTTCAAACCGTTTTCCGGTCAGTCCAACATGCGAAATCCAGTTGTGCTGCTAAATTAAGACGTACGCAGCTGGATCAAAACTACTTTATCTCAGATAAACCATTATTTGGTGTACTTGAGGTTTCAGTCTTTAATATCTCCTATGTACCTCAATGCTAATTAATATCCACACTCGCTTTAAATAGTGCTTAATAATTCTGCTTAAACCTAATAAGTCATTAGCATCGAATACTAAATAAACAGAAAGAGTGGGATCCACCACAACGATTGCCCGCGTTCGTTTCGCCCAGAGGGGGTCAGTTTTTCCCGTGGCTTCCACCTGTGGCCATGGAACCGAGACCGTGGACATTGGGCTGTAGCCAGGGCCAAAAACCAAATGGTTTAAGGTATTAATTGTTCGGGTGGTCTAAGATCCTAATTGATTGCCCAGGTGGTCTTGGTAAGAATTCTCCGAGAACGGCTTGATTTCAGCATATTCCCGTTTCATGCGCACTTCATTTTTTCTTAGAAATTTTGTCTCGGCCAATCTTAGCCTGTAGCTTAAGCAGTTGTAGTTTCGTCGTAGATGACCACTACTTTTGTAACTGTTGTGACCGAAACTCACTCGCATTGGGATGATCGTGTTGGAGATCCTTAATCCGCTAAGTCAACCTGTTGGTGATAACTGTCCACAACGAAAGCTATTATCACCAGCTTTCGTTGTGGATAGTTTATTGAGCATTCGTTGTGGTCAGTTTGCTGGTGATCCTAACATTCGCTGTGGTCATCCAAGTACTCATCATGATCAGCAAAATCTCCTCCCTTCTCTGGTCGGTGCGTTTCTCGACCTGTGGCCACGTTCGGATGACCCCTCAGTGTTCTAAGTGTCCCTCACCCGTCCCTCATTCAACAAGTCTAGCCCCCTCCTTCCTTTCCATTGCCCCGTTTGTAACTCTGTTTATGCTTATTGTTCAGTCCCGATATCTTCACTGCCGTTCTGTTGCAGACGCCGACACTCCAGGATGAGGGATGAGTGTGTGTGTGCCGGGCTGCCTGGATGCAGGGGGTGTGTCCTCACTGAGCGCCGGCCCGGTTGGGCGTGAATCCGTCTGCTCCCCTGCGTCTCCTCGCTTTCCCTCTTCATCTGCCCGCGAGTCTGTTTCTCTGTGTGTTTGGCCGTGTACGGTCAGTGGGGAGGATAAAAGTGCGCGCGGATTGGCGAGTTCCAGTTGTTCAGTGTCGTCGTCAGCTACTGCCCGTCAAGAGCGCGTCCGCATTTCGTCGTTG